TAGGTATTCCCACCCCTCCCCCCAAAAAACTAAAATGGACGTAAAAAACCAGTACTCTTCTTCCATTTTACTTTTTACTTTTGGTGCCTACCTTTCACATTTTTGTAATTGACAAAGAGTATAAATAGTAAGATTAAATAATAATCGATCATAAATGTAAATGGAGATGAAACACTTAAAATTTACAGTTAAGGTAATCCTGATCTACTTGCCATATAATTGTTACCAGATACACAATAATAGATGGAAATCCTGGTAAATATACAGCCCAGTAAATTGTGGCAAATTCTGTAACAAAATATTTTATTTCTATTTGTTTTTTTAATTTAATTGAGGAGAATAAAAGAGTCAGTTATAGAATCCTGAGTGCCTTTATGTCCCCATTGTACCTGATAGAGACATTCCTCCAGCATTAGCACCTCATCACACTGCAATACAATTGTTTATTTAAATACTTATTATCTGCTGTCTGATCTTTAAGCTAATTAATGGCGGGGTGTATGTTTTATTTATTTTTCTTTTTAAAGCTCTAATATATTTTGCTAGCACATAGTATTTGTTTAATGATTTTTACTTTTAAGGGGAGGAAAGCCAGATATAATTACATTGATGAGCAGAGTGGCAAATTGGACAGGACGCTGAATAGAGTCAGAGTACTTTCATTAATGTCTTAGCTCTGTTTTTTTATTATCAATAGTTATACAACTTTGGATATGAGACTTAACCTTTTATAAACCCCAGTTTTTTTAAATAGTTAAGTGCCTAGAAAAAATGGTTGACTTGCAGCATTCTCTCAGTAAATACCAAACTCTTTCCCTAACATAACAGCATGGATACTTCAAGGGAGTGTCACACAGTTAAGTGCCATAATGGCTGTGAGATGCACAAATACTCTCTTGTTATGTAAAGCTCTATTCAAGGTTGACAAGATAGAAAGCAAGCAGGCTGGACTCTTGAGTAAGGAGACCTTGACCTATAGCACAGCTTCTGTCATCTACCAGCTAAACTACCACAGACAAGATTTATAGTCTCTGAATTTTTACTGTAAAATGAGGGGCTCTAAGTTTAATTCTAAATTCAGAAATATTATTTTCTTTAAATGAACTGCAAAGCATATTCTATAATTAACCTAAGCCAAATGCACCATTTTGCATATTGTTACTTGCCTCTTGTTGAAAATATAACTGGACACCTAATTAGAGCACTCAATGGTAAGATTAATAAAATATAAAGTGATTTAAAGATTTCACTTTCAAGCAGTTCATTACTATAATAGAGATGATAACATAGAATTTAAACATTTTGATTCTTATCAACCCTTTATAGACTATATATAAGGTAGACTTTATGTTGCTTAGACTTTTATCACAAAATAAATGCAGTGGTGAAGAAAGACAAGGAAATGTATCATGAGAACTTTTCTGCATTGTTATGTGTGAGTTTTCCTTGTTTTGTTGCTGCTGAAGTTGGTATTGCTTTGCATTCATGAACTTCTATAACATTAACCTTTTACATTTATATTTTTCTCAACTATATTGTAAGATTTATAAAATAAGGGTCATGGGTTGTGTGTGTGTGTGTATATATATATACATATATATATATTCCCACACTGGCCTGTCTTGTACTTAGTAGTTGCTTAATAGATGTGCATAAGTTGATTGATTCAAATCTATATGTCTATATAAACAATCATACTTTCTAGAATACTAATGCATGATTTGGTTCAAATAATAAAACAAGGCTAGACAAAGACAATAAGGACCTAAATTTCACTGTGGAATAACAAACCCTGCTTGAAATTATTTGAGAATACAGTGAACTGTAATCAATTACAGTTATTCATTGTCAGCCTTTTAGGTCTATTTTACAGTCCAGTGTAAACTTAATTGTCTTATTATAATGATACAAGTACAGATTCCTAGGGATAAGACTAATGCATCTTCCCAAGACAATTATAGTCCATTGTCTGTTAGCCAGAATGAAGTAAGTTCCATTTTCATCAGTCATAACTTTTGACTCTGGGAGGAGAGTGGGAGCAAAGGACAAGATCTGAAGCTCATGAGTCACCCTATCTTTCTCTCTTTGGCTTGGCTCCAGAACCTAAGATAAGCAAAAGTCATCATGGCTCTGAGATTGTCCCCTTCTTCACACTTCATAATCAATTGCACATTGCTGATAATAAGCATGATGTCTTGACTGCACCTTACTCCTAGAGGTGATCTCTTTGGCACCTGGCAGCCCTCAGGTTGCACACCCTTAATTCACTTTCCAACAACTTTCAAACTGATTTAATCAGTTGATGTGATTAGTTAAAAATATACAATCAATATTACCCCTTCCTTTAATTTGTCTTAATTATTATACTTGCTATTTAGAGATTTGAGATTGATTTTAATGTGAACTGAGAGGCTTTTCTTAGTTCCTTTTCATTATCATTTTAGTTTTTGATATAATCTTAAATAAAATTCAAATTTGATAAAATATTTTTAAATAATGTCATCAACATCTACAGTAGTTATTAAAAATAGTTGATTTCAGAGCACACCTCCTCAATGAGATATTTTATCAAGAAACTTATTTTTGGTAATTACCATAGATTAAAACACTGTACTGTGAGATGAGTAACAGTGTAATTTAAAGAGCAGGCACTTCACATTTTGGAATATCAGGGCAAAGGATTTGCTGGCTCACAGTAATACAAATGTCCAGATTGCAGTTCAAGACATGACCTTTATTATGCATAAGTATTTTTTCTTTGCAAGAAATAACTTTTGCTCATAAAATTTTATGGATTTTCAGGCTTGGTTTGACTACAATAAATCTTTTATTGAAAAATCCTTAATATCAGTGAGAAGAGCACAAGTGAATAAAGTCAGAATATGTTTGACTTAGCGAATCTGTGATGGTATTACATTAGAGCAATTTGTTTTTGACAATCTAGCTTGAGAAAGATGATACAATTTGTTACAACTAAACTCTTTAATTGATAAAATATACATTCTCAAAATAAAATCTGATTTGAAAATATTCCCATTTTTCTCCTAATCTTTGGGCGTATGACATAGGTGAAGAACTTAGACTGTTGTATTAGATGATTATATGAATGTGTTCTCCAATTTCCTGAACTTGAGCAAATAATTTACTATTTCTGATCTTTATTTTTTTTTTTGTAGAAAGAATATAGAATGACAACTCCACAGCATTGCTGTCAGAACAGTGCTAGCATATGCCAGATGCCTAGCATACTGCCATATATGCAGTAGTAACCCCCAAAATATAATTTCCTTCCTTTATCTGGAGTTTCTTGTCTATTTCCTAGTTTTACTGATCTATTCACATGAAACTATTGCATAAGTGTTGTAAATTATTACAGAGTGCATTTTTTTCAGTAGGCTGAAAAAGCAGGAGTTACTGACACATATATCCTGAATAATTCTCATTATTTTAGCAATAAAAATAAAGAGAAAGGACTGATATAATTCTCATCTGAAAATATGTGAGAAATTTGGGAGAGTTCAAGAATCTCTACCCTGGATCAACTAGGAATACCTATGTCTTCCCTTTTCTTTACCTTCCTTTGGCCTTCAATATAGACTCAAAGAATTAGGGTCACCATAAGTGGTAGGAAAATATAAAAAGGGCAAGCAACCCTGGCCCTGAAGCATCATCCTTTTTACTGTTGTTGAGAGAGCCTCAAACTACCTGGCAGTAGAGGCTAAGCTTCCCAATAAGCAGATCAGAATACAGAAAGTTTATGAGGACATCTCCTGAGATTAGCATCTGAATAAAAAGTAGTAAAGAAAAGGAAGGGAAGGAAAAGAAGGGGAGGGAGGGAAGGCAGGGAAAGATAGTATGAGAAGGAACCAGACAAGGCCAAGGAAGAAGTTGAGGAGAAATTTATTTAATGGGAAACATCAGCCAACCATACAGGGATTTCTACCTGGCCTATATTGGGATAAGATGACTGGGTCTTTATGTGCCTGTGATAGTCAGTCATTGGATGCAGAACCCTTGATAAGGAGAGTAAACTTGCCAGTTACCAGGGAGAATAGATCCTTCATTACTGAAAGGAGATCTGTAGGGCATATCACAGCACCTGCCATGGTGGCTTTCTGGACTTTTCCCTTGAGTGATGCTTTAAACATTCTCAATCCCTCAAGATATGTACATGATGACATTCACACATTTCTTCTGCTGATTTTTGCTAGCACATCAGTTTGGAAGTACCAGTCTCCTAGAGTCCTGATTTACTGTCTGCTCACAGCATAGGTATGCCTGATCTCTCAAAAGATGCCTTGAGTTCTTCACTTTGTAAGAGATACTGAGTTAGGTCTTGCACAAAATGCCTTGGTAATACAACCATCCATGCTTCAACAAAACAGCAACGCAGGTTTTGCTGTTCTTTCCTCATACCTATCAAGTAAACATGTATATATATGCACATATGAATAGAAAGAAGAAATGAGAATAATCTTTCATCATGTTATGTTTTATGGATGATGGGCTCTACTGGGGTGGTAGATGCAGAAGTGGTTGTTTTATTCAGTATAACAGGAAGTTCAGTCTCATATACTGTTTATTATTAATATTTCACAGACTGATTAACCTCACTGCAATAGAGAAGAAAAGTATTAATAATTTCCTATTTCACAACAAAATAGAATGGAAATTTCCACCCTTGGTAACAGTTGCTGCTCCTTTGTGTAATAGTCATAGTTGCCACCAATAATCATTGGGCTTTCAACAGTTCCTCCTAAAATTTTGGCCATTTGCAGAATCTAATTTATCCCTTCTTTTTGTACCACTAAGTATTGACTTAAAATACTTCAATCCAAACTGTGGGAAATAAAGGAACACTTTATCTTACAGATATGGTTTATATGAATCTTAACAGTGGAAAGCACTAATGGGACTCTCTATAAGGTACAGACTAGAGAAAATAAGCAACAAGTGAATGCATGCAAGAGTATGATTAGGATAACAAGGATTCCTATTACCTTTTCTCCTTTGCCTTCAGTTTCCAAACACCAGGGAACTACTATTCTTCCTTCTGGTTGAGATGAGAACACTATAAACAAATAAGATTATTTTATTATAGGAAAGGTTTCTTCTCATTATAGAGCATATTCATATTACAGAACAACTTTGTTTGATTGTTTGAGTAAGTCAAATGTTCAAAAGTTAAGAACATTTTGTTGGGGATTGTTTGGTTGAGAGGTTTCTGGACAGTATTTTTCTTCTCCGTGAGAAATTACAGCACGTAAATTTTGTTACTCCTCATATTCACCTTGTATTTTCTAATAGACACTACTATGTGGAAAAGATAAGAAAATGATGTCTAAACCTAACAATGGGGGAAGGCTATGAACCTACAAGAGTGCTTTATGAATGGGATTTTTCTAGTTTAGAAACAATGCCATAATTCCTACAATGTCATATGTTATCTGAGATACTTTGTGCTTCCTTTTTTGCTGGTGTCTCTATGCTTTCATGTTGCAAAGGCCAATAGATCTTTCATAGAAAAAAATGGCTAAATTATATATTTTTTCTTGAAAATTTCGTATAGATAGTGCCTGGTTAGCTTTCTTTATCTTCAGAAAGCATAGGGACAATGCTCCATTGTGACATAGATTGACTCTAGAATTTAAAGAAAATATACCAACTTCATGGAAAATTTTTCAGCTCTGTGAATGAAATTTCATTCTCCTTCTTGAGATTGGAGAAAGGTTATTTTTTTGTTTGTTTGTTTTATTTGGGCAACCACATTACCATGCCAGAAATATTTTGTTTTCCATCTTGTTGGTGTCTTCTGACACTCTTCATTTTCCTTTTATGGCTTTTTAATTATTTCATTAATTTCACCTATCAGCATGAAGGATAATGCTCATTCAAAGCATGACATTTCTCCATTTGGCAAATTGTTGTTACAGAGGATGTTGTCGGTTTGATGTTGAATTTGATAAAATATCCCATTTAAATATTCAAATTTTTGATTCATACTCCCTTTATATATGAGAACATTTCCTATTAAGTATAATTTTGAAGGTTCTAACTTAGAATATTTATGACACCAAGTATTAACAATGAAGAAAATAATCAGAAAGTCTGGGGTAGGAAAGATAGGTAAGAAAAAGTTAAGACGCAAAATAGAAATAACTCTATTTATAGAAATAGTTGTGTGCTGAAATCATGTTTACAAGTCACCACAGGAGACAAAGAACACGTGTTGCAGATGTACATAATAACTGATGAGATATTGAATTTATTGTCTGTTGGGAAAGAATTCACAAATAAAAATTCAAATATATTATTCCTGGTAGAAAGGGTGACATCTAAAATTCAATTCAGAGAAATGAAGGACCCTAAAGCTCTGCCATTTTTGAATTATCAGGTCAACTTAATTCCAGGGGGACCTGTCATTTTTGTAAGCAATAACACCCAGCTGATGTTATTGTTAGATACAACCCATCTCCTGCATACTATGAGGATAAAGAACCTTATCCTCTAGGGAATGGATTAGTGATTTTTTTCTTTTGGAGAAAAAATATCTGAAAGTGCTTTCTTTGAGCAGGAAAGAAAATGCAAGGTTTCTCCAATAGTAAATAGTAGATCAAGCTTGATAAAGAGGGCTGAGAATTTAAAGACCCTCTGAAAATTCCTTCACAGAAATCAGGAACAATTTAGCCAAATTAGGTAAGAAGCAGGAGATCCCTTCCCTTCCCTCAGAAAGGAAAATAAAGGCCAACAAATATGTAATCTTTCTAGTAAGCAACTGATCAGTTCACAAATACAAGCACCAGTATACTTTATGGATATGCAGACTTTTTTGGACGTTTTGTGGCACAGTCATCATATTTGAATTTTTTCCACTTATTTATTTATTTCAGAATATTATGGGAGTAAAAACGCTTAGGTTACATATATTGTCTTTGCATCACCTGAGTCAGAGCTACAAGTGTTTCCATCCCCCAGATGGCGAGCGCCGCACCCATTTGGTGTGAATGTACCCATCCACCACCTTCCACCTGCTCCACACATGCTGAATGTCACTACTATATGTGCACTTAAGAGTTGGTCAGTTAATACCAACTTGCTGGTGAGTACATGTGGTGCTTGTTTTTCCATTCTTGTGATACTTCACTTAGTAGAATAAGCTCCAGCTCTATCCAGGATAATACAAAAGGGACTATATCACCATTGTTTTTTGTGGCTGAGTAGAACTCCATGGTGTACATATACCACGTTTTATTAATCCACTCATGTGTTAATGGGCACTTGGGTTGTTTCCACATCCTTGCAACTATGAATTGTGCTGCTATAAACATTCCACTGTATATGTCTTTTGTTCCTTTGGGTAGATGCCCAGTAATGGGATTGCTGGATCAAATGGTAGTTCTACTTGTAATTCTTTGAGATATGTCTATATTACTTTCCACAAAGGTTGTATTAATTTGCAGTCCTACCAGCAGTGTATGAATGTTCCTATCTCTCTGCATCCACACCAACATTTATTATTTTGAGATTTTTTGATAAAGGCCATTCTCACTGGAGTTAAGTGATATCTCATTGTGGTTTTGATTTGCATTTTCCTGATAATTAGAGATGTTGAGCATTTTTTCATATGTTTGTTGGTCATTAGTCTATCTTCTTTTGAAAAGCTTCTGTTCATATCTTTTGCCCACTTTTGATAGGATTGTTTGATTTTTTTCTTACTAATTTTCCTGGGTTCTATATGGATTCTTGATCAAATTAAAAAGTTTCTGCATAGGCAAGGAAAATATCACAAGAGCAAACAGACAATCTACAGAATGGCAGATAATATTCACATGCTAAACATCTGATAAAGAAATAATAACTAGCATTATTTTTAATCTATACATAAATACATTGAGAACTTAGATGATTTTCCAATTAAGTCAAAAGTAAACCTTTTTTCCATTATAGTAGACTTAACTTATAATTATGTTATTCAAATTTTTTATGACTATTACTTCTTTAAAAATGAACACAGACTTCTATGCAAATAATAATATCAGACCTAATAATTTATTATGATAATTGACCTGATCAGGTACAGTACCTTTAAAATAAATTGTTTCTATAGCTAGAAAATAAGAGATCTGAGGGCAGAGACAATGACTTGCTTTGTTCTTTTAAAAAATGATTAATTCATTCATGCATCCATTCCATTAATATTTACTTATCATCTTTTACATCTGTGACTACTAATTCATTAATTAAATATTTATTGATCATCTTTTAAGTCTCAAGCACTATTCTAAAGTTCCAAGGATTTAGTAGTGAACAAAGTCCACCATGGTTCTGACTCTCTCATGGAATTAATTAGCTTGCCCTAAAGGATAATTATGCTTACTTAATAACTGACTAAATGCTATGATTAGCGTCTCCATTTTGTCTAAATTTTAGACAATTTTTGTCTAAATTTTCTAAAATTTAGACAATTTTTGTCTAAAATTGATATTAGGTCCAGCTTTAAATTATATTGGGTAGATTATGTCTACAGAAAAAAAAAAAGTAAAGCACTGATAAAACGTATTGTGAAGAAGTCTGAATTAGGCTATTTAGCTATCCTCCAAATACACTCACCAAGTTAACACTTTCGTAAACATGAAACGTCAATGACTGATACAAGCTCTTTAACATTGTCCTAAATCCTCAAGAGCTAAATCTCTTTGTTTCATCTTCTCTTTCTCTTTTTTGAAAATAAAGTAAAATATGGATGATTCAAAGTGTTCACAAGAATCCTAAGTCTGGAAAGCCAAGAAAGATGTGGTTTCCTAGACTTGGGCATCTGCTGACCATGTTCCCTAATGTAAAATGTGTTAATGGCCTATGAATCAGCTCATTAAGGAGCTCTGTTTAATGCTGCTGCTAAATCCAGTATCAGTTTTCACCCCTCGGCCTTAGGCTTTTTTTTTTTTTTTTTTAACATTTCACTGTCTTCAGAGCCTTGTATGGTATAATGAATAACACCAGTGATTCAGGATTATCACACAAATTCACTTTATAATGATAATGTTTCCAGAAGCTCTTAGGGACTGTTCAGTTTATCACTGGTAGAAGCACTTCTGTCAATATTTAATCTGCATTGATCTTTGGCTTGATTACAGTGTATAATACTGATTACATCCGTCTTCCCATATAGCATGGTTCCTGCTGGTGACAAAACTCTATTGATACATTTGCCCTGGCCATGTAAAATTGCAAAATTGCTGAAATTTCTACTTTCATATCATTTATTAACCCTCCCATATAATATACAAAAGCATGAAGTTATGACAATTTTTTCATTCTTTTTTGTATGGTGATCTTATAAAACAGAGAATAACAGATCCTATCAGAGAGTCATTTTACCACTTTTTCCCATTATTCTGTAGAGCACCATTTTGTAAATGAAAAAAAAAACATTTTTTGTTGTTTAACATGCAGAGAAAATGTGACATTGCAAACTACATTGTTCTATGGAACTTTTGTTTTAACTAGAATAAAATGAATGAACAATTCCTGTTCTTAAAGTGCTAAACCCTTTGTCTATTGAAAATTACACATAAGGAAACTTTTTATAAATATAACTACTACAAGTTTTAAAATAGCAGAATAATACAATGTTTCCTTTTCTTCTCTCAGAAATCATCAAATTTCTAATAAAAGAAAAGTACACACTATATGGAGGTAAAATTTTATAAAATAATATATAATGGCGGGGATCAAATGCCCTGAAAGTCAAGTGGAAATACTGGAAGATGCCTGAATCTGATTTCAGACAAATCTGGAAGAGATTTTTCTGCAAAAGGGGCGAGCATTCTGTAGGGGAAACTATAAATTTCTTGATTGAAAATACAAAAAAGATTAGATAGACTGATAGTAGGAGATTCTGGGATCCTCTATGACACCATAGAGTGGTGGTGGTGCTTCAGATGAATCAGAAATCAAAAAGTGACATGGAAATTGACTATAGACAGCTAGCATTGCTGAAGCTGGTAATCTCTAGTGCCTGTGAAAAGATAAAAGAGTAACTCTCTCTCACACACACAAACACACACACACA